TGCAAAGGTTTCCTCTCTAGGACAGGAGAGGAGGAGATGGGGAAGGAGCCTCCTGGCCTCCTCTTCCCTGGCTTTCTCTGGGAGGCATCCTGAGTTACTCTGTTTTTAAAGCTTTTGGGGATTCATGACTCACTCATGACTATAAATAGGGTCAGGCCTCCAGTCCACTGACATCTCATAGGTCAGAGGACACTTTCCCCAGGGACATGGAGGCAGGGAACAGCACCAGGCCACAGGCAGACTCYCTCCTCATCCAAGTGGAGTTCACTGCAGAGTGAACATGAGGGAGAGCTCAGCAGGGTCCCCCAAACACAGAATGCCCATTCCTACAGGAGGCAGATGGGAGGCAAACACGCCCCATGCCCTGGATGTTTGCAGCTGAAAACAGCCTTGCCCATGGCTGGTGCCATCCCCGTGGCCAGTGGCTGCAGTGAAGCAGTGGCCACCCTGCCCTGTAGAGCCCTGGGCTCCTCCTCCCTTGCTGCTACTCCTCCTCCCTCAGCCYAGGACGACTATCGTGCTGCAGAAGATGAGAAGCAAAGAAATTATAAAAACCCCACAAAAGCCCAAACTTACCAGCTTCCCTCATCCAAAAGAAGCACCATGCTGGACAGGACAGGACAGGACAGCAAAGCCACTGGGTGGGGGGAAGGTTAGCAAAAGAGAAGGGAGGAGAAAGAAGCCCAGATCTCATGCTGTACGGAGAGGGGAGCAAGCAGGCAAGCCAGGGTGATGTGATGGCAATGCAGGGGTGGACAGGGACAGATGCCAATGGACAGCTCTCCCGAAATGCAGCCTCCCCCAGTCCTGTCCACCCACCTGTTTTTGGAGGGGCACTAGTGGAGATGTTTGAAATAGGTCAAGGTCTGTCAACACAGTCATCAAACCCCTGCAGCTGCTTCCTGCCCTTGTGTGCTTGAGAGTTGTCATCACCAGCATTGTCTCACTCGAAATTCAAACTTTGGCACGGTTGTCCCTCAAGCCACAGCTGCATCCCACTTTGATTCARGATGCCTGGCAGAGCAGGGAAAGGTCTCTCCTCTCTGCCATTCCCCAGAACAAGGGTCTGCCCAGGACACCTTTCCTTGCTGAAACATCAGGGTCCAAGCCCTGTTTTTTTTCTGTGCCTCATAACCAAGAGGCACTCTGAACTCMGCTGGGGAGGAGAGACAGGTTTCCATTGTCAAATTAGCACCAAAAAGGGGCTGAGCTTGATATTTACAGCCATCCAGTTCCCCTTGCATGAATTCCAGTTTGTGGTTGAGCCCTGGCACAAACCCAGTCTCCATACAAACAGTGTCACCTCGACCCATCCATGGCTGGCCAGGAGGAGAGAGGAGAAGGTTAAGATGGAGGAAGGGAATTGGTCACCTGGCTGTGGGAATTGAGCCTATTAGCCAGAAAAACTGGCCTTCTCCTTGCTGTTACAGAGGCCCACTGTGGTCTGGGAGATGCCCTGCTCCATCCAGGAGTGCCCCTGCCTACTGCAGAGCGTGTCTGAGCAGTCTGGTGCCATTRATCCAACCCTGCTCAAAGGGTCTGCCAGGGTGCCCCAGCTGAGGCCTCATGGGACAGCTTCTGGTTCTTCACCCCCACCTCTTCCTCAATCCCAGAAACAAGACAGAAAACAGAGAGGAGAGACCTTTCCAGAGCCTGTCAGGTGGGATCTGCTCTCCTTTCTCCAGCCAACACACCGAGCCAAGAGTAACAAGGAGAGAGCACAGACAGTTTAARCCCTTGGCACCACCAAGGCCAGCCAAGGCTTGGCAGGAACCTGTTTTGCCTCGTGGAAAGAGTGAACGGAAAGCAGAGAACCAAGGGGGCCATTTCTCCTATTGTTTTCTCTTTATTATGAGGGGAGCCTTGCTGGGGCTGTCAATGCTCAGCAGRGTCCTGACCATACTCATTTCTAACTGAAAAACCCCACTAACCTCTTTCAGCCTTAAGGGAGTTTGAAGGGCATCTGGCAGAGACCACTCCAAGCCATCCACGAGAGGCAGGCCCTGAAGGCACAGAGGAGCCCTTCCTCTTCCTCCCTCCTCCACAGGAGCTGCCCAGCCAGGACAGCAACAGCAACACCTCTCAGGCAGCCTGGCTGTGTCTCACAGCCACACAGCTCAGCCCTGTCTGAGCAGGAGCAGCTGCACCACCACCACCCACATTTCCTGAACTACAGCTTTGCACCGTGGCAGCTACAGCTGGCAACAGATGGCCAAAAGCCTCAGGTGCAGGAGAGAAGGATTTGGGAATAAGCTGTGCTGGCTGGACCAGGGGCTGCATCCTTCCCCTGCACTCTTCCCCTTCCTGCCCAGACTGTTTTCTCCCCCAGGGGGGCAAAGGCTATGTGCTTCTGTTCTAGAAGGGCTTGTGACCCACCAGGTGTGATCAAGCACCCCAGCAGATGTATTTGCCAACTGGATTTACTATCCTCCTCCATCAGTGAGCACTCTATTTTTTAAGGCTGAGGTCACCAGAAGCAGGAAGTTGCATCACTCAGTAAAGGTCACATTCCTTCCCCTTTTAGTCCAGATTTAGCACCAGTTGGGAGCCACAAGACTCAAGTGAATTGTAGGCAGCACAACCACAACTTCTGCAGGGATGCAGGTTAGAACAGAAGTGGGTTTTTTTGGTTAAATAACCAAATCTATTGCATGCCAGTACTCTCCTGTCTGCAGTCCTACAGCTCCTCCTGGAACAGGCAAGCAATGCTTTCAACGGCATCTCCAAAATCGAGGAGTCCCAAAATTCAGAATTGTGCACTACACAACAAGTAGCCTCCAAGGACCCACTTGCATTTTTGGGATGTTGCTTAGCAGCTGCTTCACATGGGAACCTGTTGATCCATAGGAAAGCTGGAGGAGGGACAGGGCTAAAAGCGAACACTAAACCTGCCTCAGTTTTGGTAGCACACCTCAGGACTAACCACCCACTCAGCAGCAGCCCCAATTTCCCAAATCAGCACAAAGAAGTGGTTGTGGGATGTCCAGCTTCAGGCATCCGAGATGGAAGAGGTGAGCGTCAAACGTGAGAGCCCCCATTCCCCRTGGAGTGCTCATGGGAAGTGAGATGGAGCAGAGGGGAATGGGCTCATTAATCTGTGATGAGCAGGGAAGGGAGGAATGTGGAGAGGGAGGTGGGACAGGCAACCAACTGCAGCTCCGAACAACCACTCCCCTGGAAAATAACCCCAAAGCAAAATAACCCAAGACACGAGCAGATGTTATCAGTGATACCACTACCTCTAAGCAGCAGCGTGTCCTTACCAAAAAGATTTGCAAGAATGTTTGTGGCCGAGGACCTAAGGTACTCGCTACAGAGATGTGAGATCAGAGGTCAGCTCAATCCTGCAACATAAAGGTGGCAAACCCGGGTCACAGCAGGTCAGCAGCACGGTCGGGGCGCATGGAGTGAGGGAGAGGGGTGGAAGGACAAGGAGAAGGATGCAGGACAAGGCTGAGCCGCTGTGCTCAGCTCGCCCAGCTTACCTGGCAGCAGCCCTGCCCCCTTGCACCACCTGCGAGGCCTGCAATGAAAAGCTGCTGATGCCGCAGTGAAGATTTGAGGGGGGGAAAAAGTAAGCCAGCAACAAAGCAAGACAAAAAAAAAAATTCACAAAGCTGCCTTAAAGAAAAGAACAACACAAATACGAAAGAGAAGAAAAAAAAAGGAGCAGTAGGAAAAAAGACGTTTGCCAATAGCCCTCGGTGGGGAAGGCTGCTGAGAGCCTCCAAGGGACACAGAGCCCAGGCACTGTCCCTCAGTTCCAGGTGAGCTGTCCTGCCCTGGGACAGCTCCAGACAGACAAGAGCAGCAGTGCCTGAGCAGTGCCATGTGCCCAGGGCAGGGCCATCACCCCCTGGAGCCTGCTCTACAATCCTGAGTGCAAAACCCCCACCCACCCCACTGCTGTCCTTAGGAAATGTCCCCTCAGTGTCCCCAGGTGACAACAGGGCATTTGTTGCCACGCAGGAACCAGCCCAAGGCCCTGCAGGACTCCTGGCYCTGAAAACCTGAGCAGTGATTGCTCAGATGGTCTGGGTGGAGCTGCTGGTGCAAARGGCTTGAATTTGCCAGCTGCAAGTTCATTTTTGCATTGGTGTTTAGCAGGGAGCTGAAAAGCAAATCCCATCGAGCCCCRTGGGCGTCCTGGCATTCTCTCAGTTCATCCCACCACCACCCTCCCCAAGTGAAAAATACAGCGACACTCACGGCCCTGCTCAGCAATTGACAGGGTGGGGGCTTCAGCCACAACAAAGATACATGGAAAAGAAGAAAGCAAACATTTTTTTTCCTGATGCCACCAATTCAGAATCAACCCCATGCCAGAGGAAGCCAGAGTTCATTCATTTCTGTTGCTGACTCCAGAGCAGGGCATTTACTGGATTTACTCTGCCTACAACAATGTCCTGCACATGCCACAGAGATAAACTTTGGCCAGTCCAGCTGGTGGCATCACAAAGGTGCTGCCCAAGGGTCTCAAGGCAAGGTTTGCCAGCAGGAGATGCCTGAGCCAGGGGCGAGGTGTGATTTCCTCATCCTTGCCTTCCCTGCTGTGCTCAAGTTTCTGCTTGGTTCTTTACACCAGGCCACTGTGGTGCTTAGACCATGATTTGACATGCAAGGGGTAACAAATGCCCCCTAAATCAYTCTCTGCCAACCTCTGGGTGGAGAATTGGGTCCCACAGGCCATGGGACAGCAGTGAAGAGAACACCATCGCCCATGCTTGTTGAGCCACCACTGGGAAATCAGTTCCTTGGAGCTCACCCTCAGGGCATGGGTGTGAGCTGCAGACACCTGTAAGGGAACAGCCTGCCACAGAGCCCTCAGCTGTGGGGTTATTCCTTGCATAGGCTGGGGAATCTCAAGCCAGAAGGGTTGTTTTCAGTGACAGGACAGGTTCTTCCTTTCTTCATGCAGTGCCCAAGAGGACATTTCAGCAAAAATTGCAAGAGAGGCAATTCTCCATCTCCATCACTAGTGGGTAAATCCCCACCATGTACAGCTGAGGAGCCAGCCCTGGGATGGACCCTTGCAGTGTCAGCCCCATCTCAGCAAGCTCTAAAGCCTCACACTCYCTCACTTTGCCCCATTATTTCTGAGCTATGTCCATATCCTTGGTTGGGAGGCCACCCACAGGGGCAAGGGAGGGGAAATACCCAGAGATCAGGTCCTCAGCAGGTATGAATCAACACAGAACTAATGGGATCAGGGAAATACATCAGCTGCATCAGCTGGAAAATTTGGTCTAAGCATCCATTTATAGGGCCACAGTGCCTCCATCTCCTAAATCAGCATGGCTTTATTTGTTCTCATGTCTTCCTGGGTGGGAGAGGTCTGGAACTCCAGAGCAATGAGATGCTTRAGGCTACCAGGGCAGTGTGGGGAGAGAGGTCTGAGCACACCCAACCTGTCCCAAGGGCATGTCAGCCAGGTGGGCTTGGGCAAGAAGAAAAAGGAAGCTCAACTTACCTTTGCTCTTCCTCKAGTTCTTCTTTGGACATCATTGACTTGTACTGGTTTCCCCTCAGCTTTCCAGGACTGTATTTAAAAGAGAATGTTTCCTCTGCAGCTGGAGAGGGGASACAAGAAAAGAGCAAGAGTTCTGTGAGCCAGAGATCTCCTGAGAGCCCAACCAAGAGCGGTGGGGTTGTTCCCTTGGGGTGCCCTTTGACCTCTGCTCTGTACCCCAAAGGCTCTGGCCAYCCCAGCACATTTCCTGAGTCAGCTCCAGTCTCCAGAAAGGCTGGGCAGTGTCAGGGAAGTGTTGTGGATCCCAGAGGAGAGCCGAGGAGCTGCTGGCCAGAGGATGGCAGGAGCCTGGCCACAGGCAGCTCTGGAAGCAGCGAGGACTGAAGGGAGCAAGCAGCCTGCTGGAAGCAGATCTGAGTAAATCCTCCAGCACAGGAACCATATGCTATTGTTCTCCCTGGATTCAAAGCCTTGCAGGCCCATCTTGGCTTATCAAGACATGCTAATCCAGCCCTGATTAACTCGCAGCATTTTCCTCTTCTCTCTCCAGACTTGCATTCCTTCTCCCTCCCTCCCTCTCCTCATCCAGGGGCCCTTTCCCATGCTTGGGGCTCTCGGATGGTGCCACGAGCAGAGCTGTCCCAGGCCATGGAGCCCTGCAGCTCTCCTGCACAAAGCTTGTGAGAAGAAGATGCCACATGGCAAATCCCAGGGCTGCAAACAGCACTGAGCCAAGGCAGCCCTAGAGGCACCAACACAGCAAGCTCCAAGTCCCTCAGTCCCCAGACCTGAGGAGGAAACCGAGATCTCCCTCCCGGGTGCTCTCCCGCCCAGCTCGCCAGCCCCAGCCCTGTGCTAATTAGAGCACCAAAGCTCACAGACTCTGAGCCAAAGCCGATCCTTTTCCAATCGGATTTTGCTCGAGCACTATTTGCTTTTAAAAACCTCTCCCRTGCTTTATCTTCCTACAGATGGGAGAAAACAACAGGAGGGGAGGTCAATCCAAAAGACGGCCCAGGAGGAGCTGCTGCTTTGGGAAGTCGCCTTTGTGCATTATCCGTGGGCTGCTTATCTGGGAGCCTTTATCTCTCAAGGACTGCAGGAGGCTCAGCTGCTTCACATCCAGCACCACTGTTCCCACATTCCCAAAATTATCTGCTGCTTCCCCCGACCCGCAGAGCTCTGGGAGTGCTTCTGAGGGGTGGACARAAATGAGATGTGATTGTGTTGTCTGCACGGCCCTGCAAAGTGGCACATTATCCACAAAACAGTATCCAGGATGATCCCTCCAAGCACCAGAACGACCCCAAAACTGGTGGAGCTCCCCTGGTAGGAGAGAAAGCTTTACACAACACATGGATGCATCCTCTGTCGCCAGTCACACAGGAAACCTCTCCCAATCCTCTCCACTGCCATTGTGGGCACCACATTGATGATTCTCTCTCCTCCTCCAATTGCCCAAATGAAAAACTCCTCACAGCTCCTCTCCTCCCTTCCTCACACCCAGGATTTAGCATCAGCAACTTCCCTTTATTTTCCCATCTTTACTGCCCTCAAGGATTTTTCTCCCCGTGTTCAAGGTTAGCTGCTTGATTTAGGGGTTTCTCCAATCCCAAGCTTGTGTACACATTCAGCTGCTGCCAGACCTTGGGGATCCCCTTGTAAAAGGCAATTTAGAGCCTCAGTTTGTAGGGGAAACAAGAGGTCTCAGAAAYGAGCAGTGTAGGGCATCAGGGAGGCACTGGAGTGACCTGGAGTGATGGGAGTGGGATGGGAATTTCACAGAGGCCTCGTTCCTGCTAACCCCCACATTTCCTCACTTCTTTACATCTCCAGGTTCCTGATTTTGGGGMGCTCCCCAGGGAGGTCCTGGTGAGTTACTGCTCAATTACTGATCTGGAGCGTTTCTCTAATCCCTAAATGCCATCAGGGCTCCCAGGATATGCAAAGCCTTTATCCAGCTTTGTCACAAATGTCTGAACACAAAGCTCTGATCCTGCAGCCCCAAACATTCAGCTTGGCCATATTCCAGTTCCCCCRGTGGAAAAACCCTCCCCACGGTCAAAGGAACCAACCTGGCCAGCTGGAAACAAGCAGTAATGGTGCAGCTTATCAGCCCTTTGGGTAACCATAAAAGTGCATGGAAAGAAAATTCAGCTGGCTGCTGCTTTGGGAGATGTTAGGAGAAAAAAAAAATTAAAAAAAAAGAGGGTGTAACATCCTGTTCCTTATGCTGGTGCAGAGCAAGAGCTGTTCATTACCTTTGTAAAGCTCGACTGATTTCAAGGACAATTAAGATTGTTTCCCTCACGTGGTTTTCTGCCAAATCAAGTGAGATTTGGGATYTAGCCTGGCCCAAAAAAGGCAGTTTAGTTGCCACCTTCACCAGAAAACAGTAAGGGAGGAGGGAGACAAAGAAGATCCCCATCTCCCTGCCCACTCAGTGCGATTAAAAAAAGGAGCCAGTTTGTGGCTGTGGAAACCTCTGGCTGTTTTTTGAGCTCAGGAACTTTCTTTGCAGATSGAAAACAAACTTCAGGAAACACACAGAAAAGGGGAGGCTGGGTTTTCATGTAGACAGGGAAAACACTACAGGAATAGGAGGTGACCTACTTATTGAGAGCCTCCGTGAGTTCATATTAAAGAAAACATTTGTCTTTCATCTCTCTGTCCTGGCGTTGCCAGTGCTGTGACCCTGGGCTGGCAGGGTGACAGCAGCCCCAAGAGTGCACCTCTCCCCTGAACATGCTTGCTCTGGCATGATCCACGTGTTATCCCTGCCAGCTCCCTGCCCCAAGTGGGGGGAAGCTGCTCCGGTGGCTTTGGTCACAGCCTGGTGACAGACACCTGCAGGATCCACACATGGCCCAGGGAATCTCTGCTCTGGGCTCCSTGGGCAGCAGCTCAGTGCTTTGAGTGGGGCTGGGACATGCAGGAGGCAGTGGAGGAAGGAGCAGGGCTGATCCCAGCAAAGCTGAGTGTTCCTGGCTGGTATTTCCAGCTGCATCCCGCTGTCTCCACATCGGGCTGGGCCCTTGCTTTGTCCAGCCCCATTATAAAACACTTCATAAATGGCTGAGTAACTCAGGGGAGGAGTCAGGAGCTGTCTGCATGAGGACACTGGGCTAGCCAGGACTCACAGCCAGGGACCATCACCTTCTCCTGATCCCAAGCCACGGCCACTTTGGAATGATGCCCTGAAAAGCTGAACCCACAGAGGCAGACACTGGCAGAGCAGGGGTACTGAGCATCCATTTGACAGGATACACCCATCAATCCTAAAGCAGACCTCCCACAGCCCCACACAGAGACATCCCCAACACCACCATTGCTGTGGGGAAGCCCAGCAGGGTGGAGTGAGCGTATTTTGGGAACCCCATCTCCAAAGGCGCTTCCCCCACCTTGCAGGAATGGCGCCAGGATTAAAATTCGATTCTCTGCGGCATTAGGCATAATCCTCCCGAGCTGGGGGATTGCCACACAGCACCTTCAAACAGCCTGGCAGAAAGTGGGGCAGGCAAGGGAGAACACCCCAAGGRTTCCTGCTGCCCCAGGCACCCCAGCCAGGACTGCTGGGGACATCCAGCACCTCCAGGGCTGCTCAGGAGAGCAGAGTCCCCTTCAGACACACATTCCTGCTCMACACCATCTGTTTCATTTTCTTAGGAGTGCAGCAGTTGTCACCCCAATTAGTCAATTAATCATTTTCCAATCAACTAATTGGCTAATCAGTTAAACGTGGCTCTCACTAAAGCCCCCGGAGATTGTCCTGGATGGAAGCAAGGAGCTTTTGGAGCAGSTGCATCACAAAGCTACCCCATGGCAAAGAGCCCAAGGGCATTTGGGGAAGGGGTAGGAATTTCCTCTACATTTTGAGACCATCCCCAGTCACTCAGGGCTTCAGACCTGTCCACAATTTCCCCGCAGGCTTGCTTGGCACTCACCATCTTCATCCTCTGGCTCTCTCACCACCAGTTTCTCGTTTTCTGAGTCCACCTCGTCTTCCTGGAGGAGTTAAAAACAGARCAGCCATGAGCAGAAGGAGCTGTGCTGAATAACCTGATTTTGGTTGGGATGCAGAGCGTGGAGCTCCTGTGAGGGCTGGGCACCCCTCTGTGCTTCCTCCATGGAACAGGACAAAAGGATGCTCACTCAGGAGTGAGGGCTGTTAGTCTGCTTTCCTCTCACTAGCCAGCCAGAGGGATCTRGCCCACCCGAAGGCTGAGAAATACAATGTCTCCCCATACTCAGAGAGATCTCAAGGTCTTTAAGAAGAGCTTTGTGCCTGAGCACCCTCTCAGGCGGCACCTGCTGTGCTCCCCCCACCCCTCCTGCTCRGGGATGGGCAGGGGACTGAGCCACGAGCCACAGGGACTTCTGCATGTCCCCAGGCCAGCCTTGGACAGACTGTCCTGGTGTGAGGAAGAGATGGATCCCCAGCCAAAACCACCTTGCAGCCATGGGCCAAGCAGCTGCTCCAAAGCACAGGAGCRCTCACCAGTCAGACCCAGTGGGGGTTTGTGCTGGGAGCCCTCCAGGAACCACCCATAGCTGCTCTGGAGCACAGGCAGCAGCAGCAACTGCACATTTTGGGAAGCTTTCAAATCCAAAGCAATTTTGGAAGTTTTGGGATTCCCTTCTACAAGGTACAACAAGCTTTATCAAGGCCAGATTCCTTGTCCCATGCAGAAACTGCAAAGGAGAAAGAGGAGCACTCCAGGAGACGAGAAAAGGACATGTGGCAGAGCCCCTGCATGAGTGATTTCCTCCTGCAAAGCCCAGTGAGCCAAACCCAGGGGCCACCAGCAGCCTGGGGCACATGGCCCCTGCATCCTCCTGGCCTCAAGCAGCCCATGGGCCAGCAGAAGGGCAGAGCACATGGGAGAGAGGGGAGGAGAATGGAGAGAGGCTGTCAAGCCCCACATTATCRAGTGAAAAGCTGGGCTGAAGGAGACCAGAGGGAAATGAAGCCAATCCTAAAAGGACCATGCAGAGTCGAGTGCTGGCTCTGCAGTGCAGGGCTTTGGAGCTGCTGGAGCACAGCCCCGGCCCAGAACTGGGTGAGTTTGTCATCAGGGAGGAATGTRCATCACTCACAGCCACTTGGCTTCCTCTGGCCACTCTGTTCCCCACAAGGAGATGCCACCAGGATCCCTTCCCGCTGCAGCCACCGCTATTTTGGGCCATGCTTCCAAACATGGACGCTTCCCACTGGACACCTGAACAGCCCCTGAGCATGGCTAGGGAGGCACCCAAAGCAGTGGCCTCAGGGAGGGTGCAGGGAGGGGACACTCAGCTCTGGTGACTCAGCCACAAGCCCAGGGCAGCAGTTCCCCATCACATCCATCTCCTCCTGTGAKCTGGGACATCCCCAGGGAGACCCAACCCTCCAGGAGCAGACACAGGGAGGGAGATTTTAGCCTGTTCCTTGCCTGGGTATAGGAACTGAGCATTTWACAATGGGAGCAAGCAGGAAATTTGGGTGGCAAACCTCCAAGGAAGGAAAATAGATCTGCTCCAGCACAGAGGAAGAAACATTTGATGAGAGCAGAGAGGGCACAGCTAGGGATGCCAGGCTGGCAGGCAACAGCAGMATTCCAGGGCTGTCTGAGAACCCCTGCTCGTGGCAGCCAGGAAATCCCTGCAGCACATTTGCCTGCTTGGATGGCTTGGAGGCAGAGGCCAAAACCTTCCTTCCCCTCAGCCTGGACATCCTCRTCCCTCTGCCTCCCTGGGGCTGCTCCTCCCGCAGCCATCGTGGTTCAGCTGTCCCAGAGGGACCCCACTCACCGACCCCCTCCCTGGAGCATCGCTCTCTCCACTCCTGGAACACCATTTCTTTCTGCTTTAAATGGGCTGAGTCATTAAAAGGTCACCCAACCCCACCAGGGGAGCACAGCAGGCAGGCTCTGACCCCCTGCCCATGGCAATGTCCCACCCACTGTGTGCTGTGCCCCCTCCCCAGGCTGCCTCTCCCTCCCACGCACCTCTGCATGGCTGGGAAGTGCTGCGTGGCCAMACGTGTCCTCTGCATGTCCTGCGTGCCCGAGGCTGGATCCAGGTGAGGCACCCAACGGTGGTATCTGGAAAAAGGCAAACGCTTTGAGCCACAAACACCCCTGAGCTCTCCCAGTGCTCAACCAACCAAGCACGGGCAAATCTCTGGATGTGGCCAGTAGCCCGCCCTGCTGCCACCCCCGAGCGTGTGCCAAGCCATGGTGTGACTGCTGGAGTGAGGAACCCCAGAGAGCTCCATTGCCCAGCCCTGGAGCCGGGGTTTGGAACTCATGGAGCAGCCCCAGCCCATGGGATGGGACCGGTGCAAGGAGCAATCTCTGGGGGCTGGGCTGCCCTGGGTCCTGGCAGGGCTGGAGGCAGCTCCCAGGATGCTGATGCAGCACATCAGGACTAGCAGGAAGGCAGAAGACATGCTCAGTTTGTTAATGCTCTCCCGGCTGCCTTCTCCATCACACAGAAATGTCCCCTGGAAGTCCTTCTGTCCCCTCCCGAAATTCTGGAAAGCCTCAGCCCCACATCAGCTGTGGATTGCCTCAACCCCAGGCACACCAGCTTTCCCTGTCCAACCCTGCTCAGAGGAAGGTTTTTCCTGCGGTGCCTGGAGGGCTGTGGAGGAGGAGATGCGTGGGCAGGGAGCAGGGACACCGTGTCCCTTGGCCTTGCARCGAAATACCAGCGCCGGAGAAACGGCCCGCAGGGACCAAGCCCCACCTCGAGCCTGGCTGTGYCCACAGCCTCTGCCAGCCAGAGAGGAGGGGAGAGCCCTCCCTGCCTGCAGCAGCCCCGAATTTCAGAGCTCTCAGCGCTGCCATGGCCAGGGGGTGCTGCTGGCCTGGCTCTCTCCAGCCCCGGGGAGGAACAGCCGAGCTGGGGCTGTGTGTCCCRGCCAGGGAATGCTCCGAGAGCAGGGCAGCGTCCTGCAGCCAAAACAGGGAGGGGGAGRCGTATTGGGACAACACTGGGAGACTTGGACACCAAACAGGACACCACGGCATGCCAGCACTGCTCTTCTGTAGGAAGCACAGCCCAGGGGAATGCAGGGAGGCTGTTGTAGCAGCTGGGAATGAGGGAAGGAACAACTGGAGAAAAAGGAACCTGAGCGATCCGTCCAACAACCCACAAACCAGCATCTCCCCGCTGCACACCGGGCACGAAAACCTCCCCGCAGGAATAAAAAAGGCGAGAAGCAGCAGCGCAGGGAGCCCGTGCGCGTCATTATCCGGGAGCATCTGGAGGAGACTTGACACGGGCCGCCCCGACCAGCTGCTGCGGCAAACAAAGCTCTCATTGCCGAGCCAGGGACGCGATGGGCGGCAGCTGCCTGGCCCCGGGGCCGAGCAGGACCGGGAGAGGCACGGACMCAGCCCGCAGCACAGCCCGTACCCCGGGGCAGCTGAATCACACCTGGGCACGGCTCGCCCGGGGCTCCGGAAAGCCTGGGGTTAAAATCTAGCAAGGCATCCACCTTAAACAACAAGGCAGCGATCCATCTGCCTCGGCGTTTGGCAGCTCGTGGCTGCGGAGCCGGAGCGTTTGTTGGATCATCACAATCGTGCCTTCGCCCTTTAGCTCCATGGCCACGAGTGAGGCGCCCACGCGAGAAKCTGACTCTGGCAGCGGGGTTTGGACCGAAGCAGAGCATGAACAAGGCTTCAGGGACATTTTGGACACAGCAGCACTGACCATGGACAGCCCTGTGTCTCCTCCTCAAATAGAGGAGCTTGGCATAGTGACCCCAAACTCCATCAYGGCTCTGGCACCACCAAACCCTCTCCCAGCCTAGGGGTTCCCACCACAGCATCATCTGGTTTTCAGCTCATTTCTGGCCATTTCCTCCCCACTTCCTCCATCCCCGGTGCAAACCCCTCCGAGCAATGGGCTTCTTTCTCAGAAAGGACATGAGGGGACTTTGGGGCTGGTGTGTCCCTCTCCCTTTCCTTAGTTGAAGGGACAACCCTGGCACTTACAGGCGTGTTGGGGACAAATAAGTGCCCTGCTCCAGCTTCAGGAAAAGGGAAGATCCCAAGCTGCAAAGAAGGAGGAGGAAATTATCTTGGATTAAACTCCTGGGCCCTGTRTGTTGCCATTTATGGCTGCACTTTTTGCTCCAAGCCTGATGCAAGACATTGCAAGAGGGAAAGAAAGCAGACAGAGAGAACCAGCCAGAGAGAGAAAAGCCAGGAGAAAAGGGGAAGGAAGAAACCTTTAAAAAAAGACTAAATAATAATAATGTTGGGCAGAATTTAGCAGAGCAAAGCAGCTGCTCCTTCACCCACAACTGGGGCTCTCCATCCTCCCTCCGGCCAGAGAAGCAGCTGCCGTGGAGCAAGAGCAGTTTTCCAGCCCTGGAGATGGTCCTGCCAGCTCTGGGGTGCCTGGAGAGGATGTGCCTCATGTGRTGATGGCATTTTGCCATTTTCTGACCCCCACAAAGTGTGGGAGCATCTGCTCCTGTCACTGCTATAGGCAAGGACAAGCCACAGAGTGACCAGGGCATTSCTGAAGCTCTGGGACCGTCCAGCCCTCAGCGAGGATCGGGCAGTGCCAGGGCTGACAAAGGAAAACACTGGTGTGTCCCACAGGAGGGTGAGGAGTCCCACCCATCCCTGCAGGCACCCTCACAGCTCAGAGTGGCTCCCCCAGATCCCATCTGCTGCTCTCCCCTTTTTGCTCCGGCCTCTGGAAGGCAAACACCCTGCACCAGGACAGCCCTCGCTGCCCAGGGGAGCCAGCTGGGATCCTTGGGAGCAGTGGCAGGCAAAGCTGGCCCTCACCTGGCAGCCATGCACACAGGGGACAGAGAGTCCTCTGCTCCAGCAGTGCCCCAGCTCTGGCACAGCTCCCAGGGCTTTACCCAGCCCAGAAGGAGCCCAACCTCCTGGACAGGGCAGGGGACACAACAGCCCCCAACRCCACCACACCACGGATGCAGGGGGGCTGTGACACATGCACAGGCTCCCAGGAGGTGACACATGTCCTGTTTCAGTTCCCAGTTTCCAGCCACTGCAKGAGATGATGCATTTGTCCTTGGCATGGCCTGCTCTGGGTGAGAGCTGGGCACATCTGAGCACTCAGGGCTGCGGGTGGGGCAGCCCTGCATTCCCTGGCAGTGCTGCTGCCCAGGCTGTGACAGGGGTGGCACATCAGCACCTCCCTCCCTCCCCAGTGCGCTGTGGGACAGTGGAGCTCCTGTCCCAGCCCCTGGCAGTGCGGACACAGCCTGAGCAGCTGCCAATTACAGCCAGACTTAATTAGACACCCTCYCCCCTCCGGCACAGGGAGRGAGGGCAGGCAGGAGGTGTTAGAGRGGGAGATGGTGACTTTTCAAATGGAARGAGAGTTCCTGCTGGGAGCTGGGTGCTTTGTGCTGCCGGGTGTGTCCGGAGGCACCGAGAGCCCCCAGGAGGGCAAGATTGGGGTGGGGGGCACAGGGGAAAGGCACCGGGAGCTTGGCAGAAGAGACAGATGCAGCCTTTGTGCCTCTGCTGTGCAGGTGACAGCCCCACGAGTGCCCCGCTCCCCTGTCCCCAGTGTCACCCACTCACCCCTGCTCTGCCTGGAGCTCCCAGCTGCACTTAACCCTTGGCAAACCGGCTGCCGTGCCCTGGCACTGCCCACTCCCCATCTCCTGAGCATTTCGGCCAGGATGGACACGCAGAKGGGGCTTTGGTCCAACACGGAGAGCCCTGCCCGCTCCCGGCCACCTGCCACTTCCAGGACACAATGACTCATTAGAGAGCTGAAGTTTCTGACCGTTTCTCACAAGAACCACTCTCCACAGCTCCAGCGCCGCTGCCGTTCCCACCCAGCAGCTTTTCATTAGGGGATTGCTTTGACAGCACTGCCTCATCCGTTAACGAGCTGGGGATGGGGATGAGAACAGACAATGACAGACTAATTAAGTTTTTTTTCAGTGATGGGAGCCGGCAGAGACAAGGGGAACCACTACCAGCAGTTAAGGGAAACAAGGACTCCTGGGCTCSTTTCCCTCTTTTGCCACTGGTTCATTTTCTAGCTTTGGGCACGATGCTGCAATGAACTGGTCACTGCAGAGAGGGGCAGGGAAGCTTCAGTTTCACCGATTTTACCAGCCTWGCAGKAGATGAGAGCAGGAGCGAGGCTGGRACACACAGCYRCCCCAGCAGACACCAGTTYGGAGTGAGCACAGGCAGGGAGCAGGGAAGGAGGAGCAGCGGGATGGATGTACGGCTCCGGTCAGTCATTAACACAGCGAGGCTGCTCTTCCCGGGCCGGTTCATCCAGCAGCATTTTGGTTTAGTGGTTAATGGCTGCGGGAACCCGAGCCAGCCTGGCACAGGGTGTGCTAAGCAAACGGCAGGGAGAGAAAAGAAGGAAAGAAAAGAAATAAGAAAATACATGAGGAATGAGGGCTCTCCTGTGCTGAGCACAGCCCTCTGCTCGCTGATGTGCGGAGAAGCCCCGAGCCGGCAGGAGCCAGGAGCCTGCAGCCGGACAGGGAATGGGAGCCTCGTCTGCTGAGTCACATCGGGACCGCAGCCCTCGGCCGAGCCAAGACGGGCTGGAAAGGGAATGATTCCATCAGCACTCGCTGCTCTGCCAAGGGCCAGTCCCGTCCCTGTAATGTCTGCTGGGCTGGGGTCTGAGTGCTGCTGGAGGAGGAGAAGGATGAAACAACTTTGAGGATGTTCCTAAGGAGCAAAACCAGGCAATTCAGGGAGATAGGGATGTGGATGGTCTCCCTGTCCCTCACAGGGATGATCCCTGCTGTGCCTCACAGGATCAGCAGCTGGGCACTGCCACACGTGCACGCTGCCTGCTGGAAGGGCACGTAGTCCCCAGGCCGTGCCACCCCGCCCTGGGGCCGGCAGCGCCGGCAGCTGTGGGATCGAGCCTGGGCCAAGCTCCCAAACCCTCCCTGAGCAGCGAGAGGCATTGCTCCCCTCCCACTGCTCCCACCACCACCCCAGCACACGTGCCTGGTTCCTGGCCTTCCCAAAGGGATGCTGTGACTTGTCCTGCCTTGTTCCCACTGTGAGGTGACCATTTCCCAGCAGGAAAAGCTTGGCCAGGGCCCTGCTCAGCTCCAGTGTCCCCTTTGCTGTAAGAGGAACTGAGGCAGTGAGGAGACCCAGCCCCATAGAGTCCAGCCCGGCTTCTGGAGGACACACAACTCCCCTTTTCTTGAGCAAGGACTCATTCCAGGCACAAAAACCCCGTTACCACACCTGTGCCAAGCTGGGATCAAGGGGCTGAGCYCTTCCCTGAAGGCAACAAGCATTGTAGCAGTGCCTGTTCAAAGAAATCAGGGCTGAAGAGCAGGCAGAGGGGAGGAAAACATTCCCAGGACTTGAGGTGGCAGCAGAAGAACCTGTGGGCTCTGGCAGCACTGGGTCAGGCCGTCTGTCCCAATGGACAGAGAGTTCTCCAGCCCAGTGGCCAGCTCTGGTGCTGAGCTAGCCCAGCTGGCTAACAGTGGCCCAGGAGCTCTCCAGAGATCCTGGTACTCACAGGCACCAATAAATCACACGRCAGAGAAACAGATGTGGCTTCCAGGACGCTGGGACAAGGGATGGGGCTGCTTGAGAGCCAAGGGGCATCGGGAAGGGGAGAGGGAGAGCTCCGAGGCTCAGAAAGCCCCACGGGAGGTGCTGAGGAGGACAGAGCCTCATCCCAGCACCGAGAGTGAGTCAGGGCTCACCCCTGGRTGTCACAGAGCATCACGGCACAGAGCAGGGTGTGCCAGCCCCCGGGACATGTCCAGGGCCATCAGTGAGTCAGTGGAGATGCTTTCCAAGGCGAGGGCTGTCTACGCACTGCCCGGCAGCCTGGATACAGTTGCCGAGGATTACAAATGCTGCTAATAATAGCCAGAAGGCGCCGGGGCCCCAGGCCTGTGAGCCCCGGCCCGAACACGCTGCCGGCAAACGGCGACGCTCCGGATTCCTGAGCCACTGGACACCGGAGAAAGCCACCAAGACGGGGAATTCGGGCACCTCAGGCTGTTACCGAATCCCATCCAGGCCGGGCAAGAGCAGAACAAGATCTTCCCACGGACACTGGGTCACCCTTTTATTTTTAAACAAGATCCGGAGGAGGATTTACCGGCGTTTATAGGCATCAGTGCCCTCAGCAGCCCCCTCAGTTCAGCCAGGGGTCAAAGCTTGGGGCCAGCATCCTGCTGGGGCTGGCAAGGAGTGGGGCGGTCCCTTCCCTGGGGCAGGCAAGGACAGCCAGCTTCCCTGGGGACAGCGCAAGGAGCCCRCGCTGGCACGGGGACAGTTTGCTGTAACCCACAGAACAGGGATGCAGACGGGAAGAATAAAAACACGCACATTCCCAGAACCTGGATGAGCTTCTGGCAGAAGGGAAAGGCTCCCAGGGGTTGGCTGTGCACACAGGAGAGGCTCACACTGACATACGCGTCTCTTCCCTTAAATCTTCACCTTCTTGGTCGCTTTTAGGAGCATTCCTTGAGGGGTGGGAAGGAGCCAGACAGCCGCTCCCGGGAACAACGGGCTTGTCCCCACCCGAAGACAAAAACACGGGGTTTGCCGGGACCTCTCTTATTTCAGGGRGAAAACCCGAGCGCTGCTCCCTCCCCGCCACCCGCGGGGACGGAGGGATGGGGAAGGGACATTGCGGGGGGGTTGGAGGGACCCCGGCTGCGGGGACCTCGGCGGTCCCGGGTGAGGCTCCGCGGGGAGCCGGCCTTACCTTGCTCTCCGCATCCTCCCGGTGCCCGGGCTGCCGGGGCTCTGCAGGCGGCTGCTGGGGTTCCGGGGGCGGCTGCCGGGGCTCGGGGG